TTGCCCAACCTTCCTTCCGAGGAGTGGCTGGTGGGTTTGAACCGCCAGCCGTCTGGTTAGCAGGCAAGTGTCTTAGCCACTATGCTACCAGATGGGAAAGTAGAACTCTGAAACTTTCCTGGGTGCTGCAGGCAATGTGGCGGGCTGAGTGAGGAGCAGTCACGTGTAAGCATCTGCATAGCCGTCCGCAGGACGGGAAGGCTCTGCTGTGGCCAGGAGTTGATCTGCCTCCTGGAATGCCTCCCCTAAATCCCTGTGCTGAGCCATACTATCCCTATACACCTCAACCCCCAGGTGAAATGGGGTTTGGGGGATTCTGGAGCCCCCTGGGGCAGGAACATCCCAGAAGGACAGCCTGTGGGCTCTGGGAATAAGGGTTTGGCTGCCTTGTCATCTGGGGCAGGGAAGGATTTTGTGAACATGTGTTCCTAACCTCTTCTAACACCTGTGGAAGCTGACATCTCCTGGGCAGATCCTAGAGCCCATCCAAGCCCCCATCACAGTAGGAAGGAAGGAGAGTTGGCCCCAAAGCCCTGAGTGTGAGGAGAGCTCTGGTCTACCACCTAGGTCCTCCTCCTCCTCCTCCTCCTCCTCCTATTGAGAGAGAAGTTCGTTTTGCAAATGCCCAAGAGTCTTAAGGACTAGAGAGCCACTATCTTCCCCTACACCTGGGATGTTGAACAGCTGGGAGGGATCCCTGCATTGACGAACACCTACTCACCTGCCAAAGGCTGGAGCTAGGTGCCAGGCTCCATCACTAGCTCCCAGCCCCATTTTGGGGCATGGCCTGGGAGGCAAGAGGTACAGTTCTGGCCTCGGTGCTGCAGAAGCCCTCTCTGCGTCTATAAAACTAGGATCCATCTACCCTCTAAGGTTCTTCCTGGCCCTGCATTCTCTAATGTTCTGAACTAAAGCCCAAGATGATTTGTCTTGGTTGCCGCCTGGAGTGGGGGCCTGTGTGCAGGCTTAGAGCTGAGGCCCAGCACTGGGGACTCTGCCAAGGTTTGGCCCAGGCCAAGTCTACTGTCTCATCCCTCTGCCTGCTATCAGAAAGGAGGCCTAATTACAGGAAGGTATGATGTGATGGTAGGCCTCTGGGTCAGGGCTGAGTTAAAAGGCTTTGGGTTCCCTAAGGAGCATCTTTGGGCAGTCAGGCTGTGCACTAGTAGAAGAGATGGGCTTTGTCTCTCTTTCTGGGCAGGGCTGCCCATGGAAGAGAGAGGACAACAGGGTGTGGCACACAGGGCTGCTGTTACCCAGGGGTCTCTGGGGTATAAATGTCACTACTCCCATTGTCATATACCCAATCAGGCAATATTGGTACAAAAGGTATCTTTATTGAGGTCCAGGGAAGAGTTAGGCACTTGGCCAGAGCAGCAGCTTAAATATGAGTCAAGCAGGCAAGGGTTAGCCATACTTGGGGCCAGGCTGGGATGGTGAAGGTATAGGACACAGGCTCTCCCCAGAGGGACAGAAGGTGGGGAAGGAGGAAGAAGAGGAGAAAGAGGATGCATAGCAGTCTGGGTCAGAGGCCTGGTCGGCTAGCCCCATGAGGCTGGGCAGGAAGCTCTGGGTGGCTGGTCTGGCAGGTAAGGGACCGGCGCTCTTGCTCCACATGCCCCTTAGGCCTAGGTCTGGGCCTCTGGCAGGGGCAGCCATGCTGGGGGCCCTTCCGAGGCCTCACTTCTTCACTTTAGCATCATAGGTGCCTGCATTCTTGTAGGCACTCACGTAGCCACTGTCATCCAAGATGTCCTGCCGTCCAGCAATGCCCTTGCCCTTGCCACTCTCATCGAAGCGCTCCTTGTGGGAGCCGGTATACTTGCTAGTGTCAGTCAGCCGTTCCACAGCACCCCCTGTTTTTGCTTTCTGTTTGGACAGAGTTCCCACAGGGGCACTCGATGAGGGAGCCCAGCCCTACCTAACCCCCGCTAAGACTCCCCACATCCTCCTCAGCGGCCACCCCAGACCAGCAGAGCACTTACGGTAACGCCCACATTGGCTGGTTCCTTGCCTGCCACCAGTTGGCAGACGGCATCGAAAGCCTCCTCTTTGCTCTTCCCTTTGAATCGCTTGGTCGCCAGCTCTTCTAGTGCCTTCTTGAACTCCTCATAGTTGATGACCCGAGCTGACTTTGCCCTGCCAGGTGTGTGGGCACCATGAATTTTCCCCTTTTCCATATCCTCCCTAGTTCTAGCCCCCAACTCCCCCGCTTTCTGGGGACATCAGAAGCAGGGACTGCCTGGGGCTCACTTGACTTTGGAGAACACAATGTCGACGTCGGTCCCTGTCACGGCCTTCCCATCAGCCACCTTGCAGTCCTTGCACAGCTTGGCCCAGTTCTTGCCGTTCATCTCTTGTCCACTCGCCTTGGGGTCACCATGGATGGCAAACTTGCGGAAGCTCTCCTCCAGCCCAGCCATGTCTGTGCTCACTGCCATGCCACCCTGCAGGGACCCACCTTGGTCATCTCACAGCCCAGCTGCCCCTCCCCTCTCCAAGGCACAGAACATCCCTGTCTTGACTGCAGAGCCTGAGTCACGGGTACTTCTGCTACATAACCTCAGAGCTGGAGCTGCTTGGGGAGAGGGGCCAGCATACAGTGTCACCCTGGGCCTCAGAGCCCAGCCCTGGCTCTGAGCAGGGTCAGAAGATGAAATCATGATGCCCACACCAGGCCAGGAACAGAGTGACACTGTCCAGAAAGATTGTGAGGGCAGCAGCTGGGGCCATGGCTTTGTCTGCCCCTGGCACAAGGCCTGCTAGGGTGGAAGTGAGGGTGGCAGAGCAGGCCCCTCCCTCCCTGGGAGCTCCATGCCAAACTGGGTCAGGGCCAGGCTGCTGGTTGGGCAGGTATTGAGTGAGGACAGTGTCTCTGTAAGGTCATGAGGACCAACAAGACCCAACCCAGGCCTGAGAAAGGAGCCAGAGCCTGGGCAGGGGTGAGTGCCCTAGGCAGGGGTGCAGCTGGCCCAGCCGTGACCTTGTTACTATTTGCTGTTAAACAAAAACATGAGGGGAGCGGGAGCTTGGGGCTGGCCTGGCCACAGTTTGTGAAGCCTGGAGACAGTTGCTAAGGGAGGGTGGTGCTGCTTGGAGAATGTTGCTAAGGGCAGGATGGTGTCAGGGCGGCGCAGGGAGAAGCTCCCAGTGCTGCTGGGCTGGGCTGGGCTAGGGAACAGGGGCCCACGGGTGGGGCAAGCCAGCACTCCCAGTACCTGGGGCACAACCGTGGCTTCCTGGCCCCTTGCCACCCATTGGGGCTGTAACCTCCTGGTGTGTGGAGCTGAGGAGGAGCAGAAAATTGGGGGGCTACCCTGGGTGAAGGCTGTAGAATTACCAGTCCAAGAGGCATGTTGGCGAGTGAGACTGTGCCTTGGCACTGTCATCCTTGCGTCTACGCCCTGCATTGAAGCACACTTTCCCAGTGTCCATGCCTTCGGCTCTTTCTTGAGGCCCATGACCACACCCTGAGCACCGCCATGCCAGTCCTCACTCCCACAGCCTTGTACTGCATCAGACACACTCAGCCCTGGTCCTCCACACCCTTCACTTGCACCCTCCAACTACACCCTTAACCTGGTACTGAGGCCTTCTGACCGGCCCCACCCTCAGTACTGCAGTAATAATTGACCATGCACCCTCCACGGCTCCCCTACACCCTCTCCTGAGACTCCCCCCTCCATAATATCCTCATCTTTTGCGATAAAGTGTCTCTCCGCACCCACCCCCAGCCTCACTGCAGTCCCCTGGTCAGCTCTGCACCCGAACTCCCTCCACCTTCTACAGCCCTGTGCTGGAGCCGCCCTGGCCACACCCTCAGCCCAAATGGCAAGACCCTCCATCCACAGGCCCGCAGCCCGCAGCCTTCACTGGGACCAACCACTGTCTCAACAACTCACTCCCTCTCCATACATCCGCAGCCCTGGCCACACCCTCAGAAACCCTTCCTTCTATCCAACTCCCACAGCCCTACGCAGTGACCACACACTCAGCCCCGCAAGGAGGGCCTTCCCCCCCCCCCCGTGACCACACCCACAGGCTGACATTTCCAGACTCCCAGGTACTGTGCTGAGATCCACTGGGTTGAAACTTCCAGGCCCACACCCACTTTTCACTGCAGCTCCCTGACTACATCTTAGTCTGGCCCTGCAGAGCCCCCAGTAACCATCTTTTACTTCTGCCTTTTATCCTGGAGCCCATGGTGCCCCTAGCTGTGTTCCTGCCCACCATCTTTCACTACTACTGTTCCCATACTGAAAGCACCTTTTCCAGTGACCACACACACCCATTGCTAGGTCGCTGTTTCTGGGCCTGTGAACGAACACCCATAGCTCCCCAAGTGCAGTGAGCGCTGCAGGACCACAGCCCCAGACCCACAGTACTGCTCTCCTGGCCTCTGTCTATACTGCAACCTCCCGCCGGGGCCCCACAGCCCAGCATTTGCTTTGTTCCCGAGCTTAGACAATACAGGATGCTTGTCCAAGGGAGCTGGCAGGATCCAGCGTCTAGTGCTCACTCCTGTCTGTGGGAAGATGGAGCCGTGTGGTACTCTTGGGGCTGCTCAGGTGGAGCCAGGTCGCAGGCCGTCGTTCCAGGGGTCTGCAGGCCATGGATGGAGCGGCCACGCCCGTGGACTGCGGCCACCTGCTCGCTCCCGCCGAGACAGCTGGAGTCTTCAATCAGCCAGATCAGGAGGTGAGGGTGGGGGTTGGGGGGAAGGCTGAGGCCTGGGCAGGGCCGCTCAGCTGGCGTCCCAGGCTCGGTATCAACAGGGGTTGGGACCCTCCCAGGCTGCTCCTCCCCCACCCTCTTATCATGCAGGGCTCTGATTAGGGTGGTCGGCGCCTGGGTCTCCTACCGGCTTCTACCTCGTGGCTACTCCTGCAGTGCACGTTCGGATGGACAGAAGGACGCAAGAACGGACCGAGACGCGGGAGACCAGGCGGCTCCGCAGCTCTGCTCCCTGCCGGCTCTGAGGCGGGACTGCAACCCGGGCGGCTCCACCGTATTATCCCCTGTTTCTCCGTCTCCATAGAGACAGAGTCCCACCCCCGGGGCTGTCTCCGCGGGAGAGTGACCAAGGTCACGCTGGCCCCGCCCACCAGTCCCGCCCACCAATCCCCGCCCTCTCGCCGTTCCAGGTTCCGCGGGGGCGGAGCGAATCCCGAGGCCTCATCCTGCGGCTCCGGGGCAGTTCGGGTGCTCTTCATCTTGCGGTGGCCCCCTGACCTGGGTTCAGCCCAAAGTTCAAAACGAGCTCCCATCTCCAGGGGCGCTACAAGCAAAGAACGATTGGGAAGTGGAGCGGGCAGGACAGTTCCCCAGTGATGGGGGGGTCTGGAACTGGCTCTAGGACACACTTCTCAGCTGAACGTGGCCATCTCCCGGCCACAACTCCCGCTTTCTCCAGCGTAGGGGCCGGACTCCGGCCACTGGGTTAGGGAGGGGACAATTGATGAACCATGCATCTCAGTAACCGACGGCAATCCTGGGGCCGAGAACAACTGGACGCACGGGGTCGGTGCCTGCCTGTTAGCTCCACCCTCCCGCTTCTGGCCCCGCAGCCTCTGCTACTTTTGCTGCCTCCGGAGCCCAAAGACCACCCCCCCCCCTTGAGTAAATCCTATCTTCGCCAAAAATGGCCTCTTCGCGGTAGCCTTCCACGACCTTTCCCAGTCCGGAGTCCGCCACCTGAGCGTCTCCGTTCCTCGTGTGCCCCACACCGTACAGGGGTCCACCGGGGACGGTCTGCTTCCCAGAGGGCCCGTGGCCTTCGCTGTAAGAAAGCAAGCATCAGTCCGCAAAAGCATAAAAAAGTTTATTGGAGCATCCTGGCCGGTGGCGCAGGTATTGCTGAAGGAGGGGAGTCGCGCCGGCCTCAGGTGCCCCTAAAGTGCACTCGGTGCGGCAAGGGTAGGCTGTTGCATAGAGTCAGGCAGCCGCTGCCCTTCAGCCCTCCTAGCTCTCCCCGGGGCCAGGCAGGCTCGGCTCCGGGCCGCCCCCGGACCCGGGCTCGCCACTGCTCGGGCTCAAGAAAACCGCTGGCGCTCGCGCCTGCGGCGCCAGCCCGCGCTCTTGGAGCCTGGCCCCGGGCGCAGCCAACGCGGCGCTGCCCAGGCGCGTCTGCGCCACTGGAATTTCGTCCATGGACTCGGCCGAAGTGGAGCGGTAGGTGCGCGCAGAGCCAGTGACTGGCACCGGACTGGCGGCGCCCGCGGAATCAGACGAAGAACTTGAGGGGCGGCCCGAAGCCCGCGACCCTGCGGAGGTGGAGGGAACCTGAGCTTGGGGCTCCGACTCGCTCGGGCCCCACCTTTCGGTCCTGGGCGCCCCCCGAGCGCGATCTAGACGGTGTGACGCTCACCGGGCAGCCGCGGCGGCGACAACTCCAGGGTCCCGGAGGCCGGCACTTTATACACGCGCCGCTTCCTCTTTTTCTGCAGAGACAGAGGGGACACTAGGCGACCCTTTCCTAGGTCCCCGTATCACCAAAAAGCAGCGGCGGGGCGGCGTGGTTACAGGGTTCGTCCCCACCCCCTCCACCTGGATAGGGGGCTAGTACTGTCCCTCCTACCTGGGGTCGGATCCGGGGAGGGAGAGCCTCTGCGGAGGAGGGCAGTGCAGGCTGTGCTTGGCCGCGGGTAGCAGAGATCCGGGAGGGGCTGCAGGCGAAGTGGGGGAGAGAGCTTGACGGGTATGCCCCTAACCCCGCAGCTGGAGCCCACACCCAAGCCTCCCCCTCTAGCAGACAGGAAGGGGCTGGACCCAGACCCGTGCGTGAGCCTTCTCCTTCGCCCCACCTTGGACTGCCCGACGCGGTAAGGAGAGAGGCCCAGACTGCACTCACCCGACATTCACCGCTGTAGGCCGGGCCTGGCCAGGGGCATCCCGGCGCACGTGGCTGAAAGTCCGCAGGTAGAACTCCAGGTCCTGAGGAAGGTGAAGGTCGGGGAGGCCAGGAGGCCCGGGTAGATCCAGGGCCTTCTGGGTCCTGAGCCCACCCAACTCCTGGCATGCCCTCAATGACCTCTGTGGCATCATGAGGGTGGTGCAGCCCACACCAGGTGACACATCAGAAAGGGTGACATCAAAATGAGTGTCTATAAAATTTTTGTGCAATGTTTCAACAGAAATTTATCTTTGATAAACATCTCTATAGTTAAACAACAAAAACATTTGTTGTAAGCCCAGTTCATATGTAAAGGTAGTTATACCTCCTATTGCCCTTCAGAGATACTGTGTTTGTCACAAATGAAAGGTTTGTAACAACCCTACCGGAAGCCAGTCTATGGGTACCATTTTCCCAACTGCATGTACTCAATTCATGTCTCTGCGTCACATTTAGGTAATTCCACAATATTCCAAACTGTTTCATATGCTCTTGCCTATATTATATGTAAATATAACTTTTACATGCACTGGGAAACCAAAAAAAAAAAAAAAAAAAATTGTGATTTCCTTTATTACAATATTGCTGTATTGCAGTGGTCTGGAACTGAACCTGTAATACCTCCGAGGTCTGCCTGTAGCAATGCCAACAAGGCTGACAATTTAGGCTCGTTTTATTTTTGAACTTCTAATGAAAGGTTCAAAGTCAGAGCTATCATTATTACCCAATTACAATGATGCTTTGAATCACATGGTTTTGTGTGCATATGCTACAGGCACACAGTTTCTATAGTCACTGATTTTGTCATTTTTCTGGTAGTTTAGCCACAATTTAGCTGTAATAAGTATTTGTGAACCTACATCAATACCTTTGTTGAGAATGAAGGAGTAATTAAAAATGACAAAAATAAAAATAAAAAGCTTCTGCTCAGTTACTAATAATGTTACTGTTGTCGGACGCGACTCATAGCGACCCCTCCTTGGGTTTCCGAAGCGGTATCACTATGGAAGTGGATTCCCTCATCTTCCTTCTGAGGAGTGGCTGGTGGGTTAGCAGTCAAGTGCCATAGGCACTATGCTACCAGAGCTCCCAAGAATGTCACTAATAATGCTGTAATTCAACGTGGAAAGATTTTACAAAACAATTTTGTTAGTGTTCATATAACGTAACAACTGTTACATTATTCTATGATTAAAATTGATACTAATTATAAAGGATACTGTATTGTGTGGTTCAGGAGGAAGTTCATAGGGGAGTAACACCACAGGTTATCACACCGGGTGACACCAACTCTAGTGACACCACTGCTCTATGGGAGGTCTGGGCACTGTCCCCCCAAACCCCTCTGCTAAAAAGATCTGAGACTCAAAATAGCCATTTTGGATCTTAACGGGTCCCTGTGATCCTCCTTCCTTTCATCTAGTGAAACCCCACTTCCTCCAGGAAGGCTGCAGCCCGTGGACCAATACTCCCAGGCTAAAGCTGTGCTGGATGCCGGTGGGAGGTGTGGTAGAGGCTCTCAGAGCTGCCCCCTCAGGCTTCCGGCCCCTCCCAGAGCAGCAGCCTCTGCACTGTATTCTGCCCCAGGAGCTGAGCAGCCATTCCCAGGCCAGAGTGTGCACCGCAGCCTGTGTGGGCAGGCCGGCTCCTGCAGAGCTCGGGTCGGGGTACACCTTTCACCCTCACAAAGGGTGAGGGCTGATGGGGGTGGGATATGGAAGGCAGAAGGTGGTGGGGATCCAGGAGCAGGCTCATGGGGGAGCTGGTTTTGTAACATCCCTGGATCCTCCAAGCGACCCTGGGGGCAGCCGACCCAGCCCTCAAAAGCCAAAGAGCCCAAGGTCTCAGCTCTCTGTAAATTAGGACAAGCACACGCCCCCCTTCCTCTGGGTGGGCCTCCCTCAGATCATGTGCAAATGGACAGAAATGCTGTTGCTGCAGACAAATCTGGCCCCGAGGTCTAGGCTGTCAGTGCAGAAGCCTAGGCTTGCATCCCAGCCCACAGGGCAGGCCCCAACTACGCCCCCAAGGGCTGCAGGTGAGGAAACAAGAAACTAAAAGGCCAAAGCCAAGGAAAGACGAAGTGTGGAAGGTGCGGGGCGGAGCCAGGACGAGGCCCCGCCCCCGCCCAGCAGCCCCGCCCGACAGTCTGTGCACTGGGGAAAAGGGCTCTGGGACAGCTGTCACTTGCTCGGCAACCATTTCCATGGAGACCGAGGCGTCCTGACTAATGCAGAAAGGACATTGTAGCAGCAACGCCGTCTCTAAAACAAGCTTATGTTTGGGGGCAACGGCTCCAGGGAGGGGCACCTCCCGCATTCCTGCTCAGGGTGGGGGTGGGGAGGAGGCCATATCTGTGGGACAGAGCCCAGCCGGCCACTGGCTGCCCACACAGGAGCAGAGACCGCAGCCCTGGACAAGCCCGTGCCCAGAATGGCCTTCTGGGGAGAGGTGTGGGGGTGCCAGCCTGTGCAGACGAGCCATGTAAAAGAGGAAGGGCTAGAGGCCATGCTGCCTGGGGCCTCAGGGCAATCCTCCCCCACACCTTGTCCTCCTCATGTGGCCCAGGGCCCAGCACAGAGGGGCAAGGCGACCCTGGTACTCCTGGGCTCTGTGAGGGGCCACAGCAGCGGCAGAGAATGGAGAATAATAGAGCATGAGGGGCCGGGAGAGCCAGCTGGAGAAGTCCGAGGGTGTCACCAGGTGTCCCCACTCAACCCTTCCCCCAGCACAGCTATCCCTAGGATCCTCCACTAGGGACCTTCAAAAATGTGCACATTCCTGAAGGGACCATGGCACCTCTCAGCCTGAGCTCTTTCTGTAAAATGGGACAAACACACCCGTCCTCCCTCTGGGTGGGCCTCCCTCAGGTCACCCGCAGTGGGACAGGAGAGTTGAAATTAAACGCCCATGCTGCCGCCACATTTGGCCCCAAAGTCTAGGCAGTCAGTGCAGGGCAGAGGCACCGAGGTCCTGGCTGGGAAGCCTTGCGAACTCCCGAGTCTCTCACCCTCAGTCTACTCTGTGAGGTGGGGATACCATTCTACCATTCCACTGCATGGCTGCCAAAGTGTTTACATGATGGGGGGGGGGTACAACAGGTAGGGCAGGGTCTGCACTTCCCCAGCCCTGTCCAAGAGCTCTAGCCTGGCAGCTTGGCCCGCAGGCAGGGTCAAGCCCTGCTGATGACAATAGGAGAGGGTGGGTCCCAGCACTCCCCCCATCCGCCCACCAGCCTGTGTTTGTGTCCAGTTGCCATGAAGACTCAGGATCCAGGGCTCGGCCTTCCCAAGCAAGGCCTGCCTGGGCCCCCTGCTTTCCCAGTCCCTGGGGGCTCCGAGGACTGGACACCCCCCACCCCCAGCTGCTGACCTCAGGAAGCTGTAGGGCGTGGGAACGAGGATACTCTGGCCAGCAGCTGGGCTGGCCAGGCTGAAGCCTGAGCTAGGGGACTGAAGCGGTAGCTTCCTGGTGCAGAACGTTTGCAGCATGGCATAGGGGCCAGTTCCTGCCTGTGGGCTGTTCAAAGGACTGGCTAGAGTAACTGGTATAAGGGCTCAGGGTCGCAGGTGGAGAACGGCTGGGCCACCCCTCTCCACTCGCAGCCCCCACCTGCCCACTTCCAGCCTCCCACATTCCGTGCCCTTCAGCACATGCCTGTAGCCTGGATGGGCTCGTACATGGGCTCTGGGAAATGCAGGGCTCCCTCGGCCCTGCCCACGCTTGAGCAAGTGGGCTGGTTGAGGCTTGGCCCAGACCCATCACTAGAGCAGGTTTGCTTCCCTTTGCCCTGTCTCCTAACTGGCTGCTTGTTACACGGCCCACTGCACCTGACACACCCAGGCCCCGTGTCCCACCCGCTCACCCTCTGGGCCACCTCTATACCTGAATGGGCTGCATCTTGGGGGGACATGACTCCAGCTTCCTGTGGGCCCCCTCTGCCTCCTGTGGTGGGCGGTGCTGCACGATGTACTCATAGGTGGTAAGCCTGTGCCACACTGGGGGTCGGAGAGGGGAGGGCTCAGCGCAGCGGAGAGTGACTCCAGAATTGAGAAGGGCAGGGAAGGCCCCCAGCTCCGGGCTGAAACCACTGGCTCATGTCCAGGTGAGAACTGCCACCGCAGAGAGCCGGCAGCAGGACGGGACGGGGCTTCAGGGCCGTGCAGCCCAACGGGCGCCGCCCTGCACCTCAGGAGCCTGGCCCTACAAGGCAGGTGCGTGGGGACACTTACTGAGATAGACGTGGAAGCAGAGCAGGTGGCCCAGCAGGGCTGTGGAGAGCAGGCCTAGAAGGATGAGCAGCGCAGCCAGCGCCAGGATGGCCGGAGCCCGGGTCTCCACGGGGGCCGCGGGCAAGAACACGAACCACACATCTGTGTGATTCTTCAGGACTGCAGGGCACAGGCAGCCTGCACTCAGCCAGAGCTGGGACCCATGACCAGGACAGGCCTGGGCTGAGGGGGCACAGGCTTGAGCACAGACTGACCTTCAAAGTGGTGGTTGGTGCGCAGCCGCATGGGGTTGACAAAGAACTCAACAAAGACATACGTGGCCACCAGCACAAGGAGCAGGACACCCAGCAAGGCTGACGCTACACTGTGTAGAAAGAGCCTGGGCCCAGTGGTGGGCGGCTGTCAGCACTGGGTGCCTCAGCTTGCCAAGGGCCCAGGGTCTGCAGGGACCCATGCTGGGCTGGGGAGAGGGCTTCAAACCCCACAGCCGCAGCACTTCTGGAAGCCAAAGGTACTGGGGCAAGGCTGAGGTGGGCGGCCACACCAGCAGGCTGCCCTCCTTTCCTTCAGTCAGGATGGTGAAAGACCCCAAACCCACCCTCAGGCAACCCAATCAGAACCTGTTAGGAGCTGGCTCTCATTTGCAGCACACACGGACACACCCTCACCCCTTATCCGCAGGTGCAAGGTCCCTGGCCCATGCCCTCTGACCCGCACGTCCCCAGGACCCGTGCTCCGGCCCGTTCTCACCGGTAATTTCTTTCCCCCACGCAGTTGTTGAGCCATTTGCAGTGGTGGTCGAAGCCGCACACACACTTGTTGCAGGCGCTGCAGTGTTTGGAGCGAGCGCTCCTGCCGGGAGAGAAGTACAAAGTGGTTGGTGGGCTCGCCCGGCCCTTCGTGACCCTAAAGCTGGGGTGGTGTGGGTCCAAGTGGAGGGGGGACACTGAGCCAGGAGCTGGGCTCCCACCAGGCGCCACCGACCACGAAGCGCGGCAACCAGGAGCGCGCGCGCCCTCTGGCGGCACCGCAGTCACCCGGCGGCGGCAGCAGCGCTTCCGAAGAGCTGGGGACTGGATGAGTTCCCAGGGTACTACCACCAGGGCAGAAGGGGCTGGACGGCATTATGTTGCCCTGCACCGGGACTGCGCACCTGGGGGATGGTGGTGAGGGCAGTGAAACGGAAAAGGGGCTTCCTTTCCAAGCAAGGTCCCCTGTGCCAAGCCAGGAGATGGATGCAGGTCCGGGGCCAGGGAGGACAGCCAGGCTGAGGGACTTGGGCCTGCACAACTCTGACTTCATCAGTTTTTGGGTTCCCATTTGCCTGCCAATTCATGGGAAATTTTTTTTTCTAGAAACCTTCAGTCTATCTGGGCTCATCCAAAGGGAGCAAGCTGACAGCTGCAGGGGAGTTTCAGGGTAGCTCCTCGGGGGCCCAGATGGGGTGGAGGCCCCACAAAGGCGGCAGGTGGAGATGGCTACAGTAGACGATGGGCAGTGACTCAGGGAAGACCCAAGGGGGTGTTCAAGAGTGGACACGACCCTCTTCCTCAGAACGGGCTGGGGCCTGGAGCCCTGGAATGGGTGGCAGTCCCCAGAGAAGGCACTCAGGACAGAGTGCAGAAGCTGGACTGATGGTCTGATGCTGAGTCCTTAGCACCATAACACCTTTGGCTCTTTTTCTCCCTGTGGACAGATTCCTTTAACAGGCTGACTGGGTCTCTGGGTTAGAAGTGTGGAGCCAGCCTTGGACCATCCCCAATCACCTACCTGAGGCTGGGTAGCTAGGAAGCTCCAGGAAGGTAGGAAGGGCCCTAGGGAGGCAGTCTAGGCCAGCCAGGGGTGTGTATGGGCTCTGCACATTCTGACTGCTCTCCCCACTAGCTGTGTGACCTGGAGCAAGTCACTTGGCCTCTCTGGGCCTCAGATTCCTCATGGGTAAAGGAAGGGAACAGTATCAGCCTAGAGCCCAGGCAGACTCTGCTACTCAACAGGTGAGCTGAGGTGAGCCTGACTGCAGGTGAGCCTCTGGGCCTTCTGGGAAGTGAGAAAGCTGCTGCCCACCTTGCAGGAGGGGTGTACAGTGAGTCGTCAAGCATTAACCTGCCTCAGCCCCTATCTAGGGATGCTTGGGAGAGGGGGCAGGGGAGAGGAATATGTCACTGGCAGAGTTAGTTGTGGCAGCATCAAATGTTTCCTACTCTAACTCTGCTGGAAACGGTCTTCCTCATCTTCTGTTTCCAGTCACTTCAGGGACTGGATTCTTGACAGTGTAACACACGAGGGTACTGAGGGGTCAAGACGTTGGTAGAGCCCCGTGCATTCCCTCCACCTTGAGCCCCAGCCGGGATCCCTGGGCACGCTCACTGTCTGCACACCCCCTGGTCCATGTGTACTCACACATCCACGTCACACAGGTTGCAGTGCAGATCTTCAATGACATGTGCGTGCTGACTACGGTTGAAGAGGGGCAGGGGCCCTGTGTAGCTCTTGTCCCGCACGTTGGCATCAGCTGGATCGATGGAGACAGCAGTCAGGTGCACCACAAGGTGGCCGGCAAAGATGGCACCCATGCACTGGCCCATCAGGTTAAAGACTCTCTTCACACTCTGCTGGCTGGGAGCCCTGCACCTACCTCCTGCAGCCTGGGAACTGCTGTCCACTCTACTTCCCCTGTCTCCTCTCTGCCTGTGCCATCTCTTACTCCAGCCCCCAAGAGCCACCCCATTGGACTCCTGTGCCCAAGATAGAAGAGGAGAGGGCCCATCTGGTCATGGAATTCACGAACCAGCACTGCCTGCCCACCTGCCTCTCAGAAGCCTAACCTCAGGGACCTGGCCTCACTGCTCTAGACCTGGCTCAGACCCTGGCTGGTCTGCTTTCAGATTCTAAATGGTGAAAGGAGACTGTAAGAGATCACCTCCAAAGGCCCAGGAACCCAAAGTTTAAGTTCTGAGCTTCTGTATCTTGCTTTCACAGGAAGTCAGCTTGGACAGGGAAACCACCACCCCTCCCAGCAGCTAGGCCACATGGAGAATGACCTGCAGACAGAGGCTCTCACACCTGCTGCCTCCCCCACCTGGAGTCCTGACATGTCAGGGGCAGTATGGCTCGTTCCTAGGGCTAAAACGCAGCTCTTCTAGGTCCTGTCTGCTCAGTGATTGGACCAAATGCTGGGGATGAGTATGCTGGCAATCTGCAGCAAAGCCCGAGTGTGTAAAACCCACTAACAGTTCCACCCAGGCAGCCACCTTCCATCCTTCCATGATGGTCCATCATCCTGTTACAAGCCAGACCTTAATCCTTCCATCATCCATTATTCCTCCCTCATTCTGCTCCATCTATCATCCAATCCGGTTCCCCCCTTCCTCCTCCAACTCCTTGCAGCCAAGTTCCTGTACATGTCTGCAGGAGCCAGGTTCTGCCCTACAATGCTGTACCACAGCTGGCAAAGAATACCAGTGGCCCACCAGTGACCTCTCTGTCCATGGCCAATGCCATGGGTCAGGCCTTCACACTCCTCCTGTCTGGCTGCCCTTGAGTCTGCCTTTCACATGGCTCCCAGATAATCTTTCAAAAACTTAAGGGCCTCCCTGCTTAAACTCCTTCAATACCTCTCATTCTCTCTCAAGTTAAAGTTCACTCTTCACCTCAACGTAAAGGACTCTTTGCTTTGGTTCTTCCCAAGTCTCTCCACTTTCACCAACTACTGTTTCTCACCATTTCAGCCTCTCTCCAGACACAATGACATGGGCAGCCGGTCAGTTTCCCACCTGTCCCACGCCTTCTCCCACCCCAGCCCTGGGTCATTCACTCAGCTGTTTGTCTCGGTGCCAGACACTGACTGGAGGGATGCAGCAGGAACACAACAGACCTGGTCCTTAGCCCCTAAGGGCCTTCCATCCAGTGGAAAACACTACTCAAATAATGACAGTGAAGAGAGTTTGAGAGACTACGCAAGTTTGGAATGGGGTGGCCTTGGTTAGCCTGAAGGAGTCAGGAAGTTTTCCCTGAGGAAGTGTCATCTCAGCTGAGACCTGGAGAAAGGACAGAAAGCAGGGACCAGCCATGTAATGTAAAAAGGAAAAGAGTTTGACTTGTGGCTGCCGGGAGCAGGCAGAGCCCCAACCAAGGGGTGGCTAACACGTGCTCCAGCTCAGAGATGCCCTGCAAGCAGGGGGGCCCCGTCACCAACTTCTGGCTTTTTAACCGAAATCAGAAATCTGGATTTTGTTAGGAGATTTCCCAATATTTAAATGTTGACAAGGAAATCAAGAAGTTTAAATGCACATAGGGTGACGATCTCCAATCTGCAAGTCCTTCCCTGACTAGAGGCTGAGCAGCCCAGGCTGAGGCCTAACTAATCTTTTCAGCCTTAGGGCCCAGGCCTGTTCCAGGGGAGTACCCTGGTACACACCACTACCTCAGCTCATCCCTCAGGAGCCTGCAAGAGTCGGCTGTAAAATGAAGGCTTTGCTGGAAGGAGAACTGTCCAGACTTGGGAACAGGGTGCCAGCCTGGGGGCTCCGCGAGCCTCCACAGTGCCCAAAGCAGACAGACACCGAATGTGGAAAGGACGAAACCCTCAAAGCTATCCCATGTTCTCAGTCAGGCTGCCCAAGAGCCAGGGCCCACGCCTCCTCGCGTCAGCACACACTCTCCCTAGGATACAGCATAGCCAGCAGGCACCCAGTGATGAGGCAGAAGCGGCATTAGGATCCCAAAGCCGACCACGGCGAAGAAGAGGTACAGCAGCCAGGCCGCGATCTGCAGTGGGTGAGGAGGCCAGCTCCACCCGTTCCGGCGCGACCGCTGGCCCTGCAGCTCCGGGGAGGGCCCGCTGGCCTGAGCAGACGCCGTCCACACGCTCTTCTCGGGGGCCGTCTTGTTGGAGGGCTTGTTGCAGATGTTCATCTCCAGAGGGAGGGAGGAGGGAGCGCATCAGCCTGAGCAGTCTAGCTTGGAGCCCAGGCCCCACCCTGTGGGGGCCTGGGGCCGCCCCAGCTACTCTGCAGGGCCACCTAGGGCCCCAGTGTGATGCAGATGGTAGGGGGTAGAGGGTGCTAATTGGGTGACGGTCTCCAGCTATAGCCAGGACAAGGTAGAAGGGTCCAGGGTTTAGTCAGGACAGTGTGGCTGCCTGTTACTCAAAGTGCTCTGTCTCCACAGCCATCAAAATCAAGCCCAGTAAGACGCATTCCCATCTGGTAACAAGAGCAGGCTGGCCAGAGAATGAGAACACATGCTGATTCTGTTCGGATTAGTCACCTCTGTCCTGAGGACCAACTACAAATGCAGAGAGGGCCCCTAGCCCTTTCAGGGGAACCAGGAGTGGGGTGCTAAGAAAGGGGGCCTACCCCTCAGCAGTTCCTTTAGGACTGGGGGACCCCGACCCATCTCTTCTGTGCGTCAGTGGGCTTCTTGCTGGGAGGGGCTAGCACGTGGGAGAGAGGGGAGGGGTCCCGTTTGGTTCCTTTTAACAGAGGAAATGACCGCATATCTCCAAGTTAGTGTGGGCCTGGTCAGGGCGAACAGAAAGGGCTGGTGCCCTTTGCCGAACTGAGGGAGCCCAGGGAAGGCAGGCTGCGGCCAGAGCCCTACCCACCAGGTGGCAGCAAACCTCCCTATCCCTGCCACCCTTCAGCCCAAGAGCTGGCTCGGTGGCCAAAGTTACACGCAGGGCGAGCAAAGGTGAGTCTGTCCTTACAGGAGGAAGAGCCCCCCTGCCCCAGGATCTCCTAGGCCTAAGGTGGGGCTAGAGCTCAAGCAGGCAGTGCCACATCTGGGAAGACAGGCCAGCTAGGAGCTCGGGACAAAACCCTGGCAGCTGGGTTCTCCTCTCAGGAGCCCATGCCTGTGGGCAGGGGGTCTAAGGCAAAAGGGTACAGCAGACCCCACTACAGCACCTCTGCCTGGAACGCCTTCCCTATTTCTCAGCCCAACAAAAGGGAATTGTCCTTCAGAGCCCACTGCAAATGTCCCATCATCCAGGAAGCCTTTCCTGATGCTCCAAGTGAACTCAGAGGGCCTTTGAGCCTGTGCCATCCCTGGGCCGGCCTCCCTGTTAGGCCAGCTTCCTCCAAGGGCAGCAAATGTGCTGTGATTCGTTCTCCTCTCTCCCCCAACCCCACCCGGGCCAAGCGCCCTGAACTGACCTTGTGTGTAGTAGGTGCTAGGTAAACATTCGCTGACTTGAGAACATCTGAAATCAAAGGAAAGGTGGGAGTGGTCAGTGATGTGGAATTATCTGGCCCAAAGCCATCTGGCACCCTCTGTCCTACCTTTAATCTTTCTACCCAGGGGCAGATTACCCAATAAGCAAGGTAAGCTTATTATTCACTACCGATTAATAAGTAAGCACAAGTAAGCCCGTGCTTACCTTTCTTACTGGGTACTCTGTCCTTGTCAGGGGTTGTACATTTGAAAAAAGGCTTTAATTCGATGGATACCAGCCATAATCAGAATATTTGATGTGGTGAAAAGAAGTGTAATTGTTCACTACAGATTAGTAAATAAACACAAGTGACCTGCCTTGCTTACTGGGTAATCTGCCACTACTTCCACCCCTGCCCTCATTCCACACAGCCGCCCCTTGCCTGGCTAGGACCAAACAATCACACTCAGCCACTCCGCCCTTCATCCCACCAGAGGCTCAAGCCAGGCACATCTGAAGTCACCTCTGAGTAGCCTCAGCTCAAAGTGAAACAGAGTGATCTCAGTTTTCACCCAGGACCCAAGCAGATTCCTTTGAATGGCCTGTCTTTACTCAGCAGCAGCAGAAGGTGGAAAAAGAAGCCTAGCTTTGGAGGTTCAACTCCAGGCTTTGCACTTATGGGCTGTGTCCCGGTAAGCTTCTCTCAGGGACTGAGTTCCTTCATCCAAAAACGGGGGTGGCATGTATGGGTAACGCCCTGACACATACATGGCAGCTGAGTGGCAGAAGTTATGTTTCCTTCAAACAGCTCTCTGGCCCCTCCCCATCTGTCCTGCCCCAGGCCTCTGCACCTGGATATTCTCCAAGGTGTGAGTCCAAAGTGATGAGGTCTGCTGGAGTTGTTCTCTTAAGTCAGTAGCTCAGAAGGAGCACATCTCCATATGCGCTGGGCCACTGATCAAAGGTGACAAAGGTGATCAAAAAGCTGGTATCACTTTCTTTTCAATGTTCCCAGATGTAGCAAATCTTTGTCCTCTGAGAGTGGACTTAATCTTTGGAAACAGTCAAAGGTCATTCAGGTTAAGCCTGTGAATACAGTTAAGCTGGTCACTGGCTCTTCCCTAAGATTTGCGTATCAGCTCTGCAGGGACACCAGCTCCAGGGCAACCACCTTGAAGGGAACCATGGAATCTGGTTCCTAAGTTCTGGCTTTCCTCTTGTCATCCCCACAATGAAAAGCCTATGACTTGAAGATATTTCCAGAAAGAGAAGCAGAGGGCTAGGACTGCCCTGTCCCTGCTGCCCAGGGGTGGGCAGTGGCCAAGGCATGCCCCGTGCTGCCTCACGCCCGACTCTGACTCCAAATCAGGGCACTCCCAGCCCAGGGGTCCCAGCTGCCTGAGACTGGAGGGGGAGATGGTGCTATCAAGAACAGTCCTTCGAAAGGTGGCGGGACTCTGGAACAGATACCTCACGCTGGCCAGGAGGCATACCGCCTGCCCCAACAACCAAGGCTGGCCAGCTCTTAATAGCTGATGGCATCTTTCATGAACCTGGTGGCCACAAAATCTTTTGGCTCAAAGGATTTTGATTAAAAGGGCTGGAAGGTCAGTGTTCTGGTTCCCTAGTGCCACTCTGACAAGAAATATATACCACAAATGGAATGGCCTTAACAAGCAGGAGTTTATTCTCTTAGAGTTTGGATGCTTTAAGTCCAAGTTCAAAGTGCCAGGCTCTAGGGGCTGGGTGAAAGCCCCTCAATCTTGGGGTCCAGCTCTGCCTCCTGCTCCCAGCCCACTGGAGCTAGAGGCATTTCTTCACCCAGACAGCTTACTGGCTGCTCAGGCTGAGAAGCTCAAGGCTGACAAGTAAAAAGGCACAGTCCCAACGTTACCAAATCACACGGCAGGCCGTTAATCAAGTCCATTGTAAGTGCCAAGGTCGGTAGAGCATGGCAGGCTGCTGAACAACGACATGACTATATGCAGGGTTCGAGCGTGCCATAAGCTAGAGACCGTTCCCCAAGGCTTCTGCTTATATACAGGAAGCAGACCACATTCCCCAAGGCAGCTACTCAGCTGCTCCCAGTAGATTCCACCATGGAGTTGATTACCAGTCTCATCATGGGGAATACTACATCCAGCTGTCCAGCCACTCAACCAGGCACAGCCAAATTGACACACAAACATAACCACCACAATTCCACCCCGTGTCAACTTGCCACCTGTACAGATCTTCAGTGGGTGGAATCTGTACAGATGTCTCTCACTGGGTGGCTCCAGTCCCCTAGTTCCTGTAAGTGGCGACCACATCCCCTTGGCCTGGCGGTCCCCGTTCCTCCCCATCTTGGGCATGGCAGCCCCACCCCCTCACTCTTGGGCAGCGGCTATGGCTCCATCCCCCTGGTTCACATGAACGAGCAGCCCCACACTCCAGAACCAAGTTGGTGAAAGCCTAGCTCTCTGAAACCTAGGAGGCAGTGATCGTTCCACCCCCAAAGGCCGTGGTCCTACCCTTTCAGGCTTAGGCAGCTCTGCTGCCGTTTCCTTGGTCTCCGCGTCTGCCGATTAATGCCCGAGGCCAACCTACTCCTCCAGGAATCTTCTTGCCCCAAAGGACGTTTAGCTTTCTTGCTCCGTGGGCTGGCCAACCTGGTACTCCATTTCATGCAGGTCTCTTTTACCAGTTAATGCCTGAAGGCAGCCCACTCCACCAGGAAGCCGCCTAACCAAAGGCATCAAGCTTTCTCCTCCATGGGCTGGTAAGGCTGTTGCTGTCTCATGCTGGTCTCTGGGCCCTGCTCCTGCCATCTCTCATGCCAGTCTCTTGCTCTGCTCTTGCCGGGGTCTTGGGTCAAGGACAACTCCACTCCTGTTCCCACATTTTAGGTATCTGTCAGAACAGCACCCCACTCTCTCGGTACCAAATTCTATTTTGCTTACCTAGTGCCACTCTGACAAGAAACATATACCTCAAAAGGGATGGCCTTAACAAACAGGAGTTTATTCTCTTAGAGTTTGGAGGCTTTAAGTCCAAGTTCAAAGTGCCAGGCTCTAGGGGCTGGGTGAAAGCCCCTCAATCTTGGGGTCCAGCTCTGCCTCTTGCTCCCAGCCCACTGGAGCTAGAGGCATTTCTTCACTCAGACAGCTGCTAGCTGCTGAGGCTGAGAAGCCCAAGATTGACAAGTAAAAAGGCACAGTCCCGATGTAACCAAATCACAAGGCAGGCCATTAATTCAAGTCCATTTTAAGTCCCAAGGTCGGCAGAACATGGCAGGCTGCTGAACAACGACACGGCTATGTGCAGAGTTCGAGCGTGCCATAAGCTAGAGACCATTCTCCAAGGCTTTTGCTTATATACAGGAAGCAGACCACATTCCCCAAGGCAGCTACTCAGCTGCTCCCAGAAGATTCCACCATGGAGCTGATTACCAGTCTCATCATGGGGAGTACTACATCCAGCTGCCCAGCCACTCAACCAGGCCCAGCCAAGTTGACATGCAAACTGAACTATCACAGTCAGAGAGGATCCAAGATGGGGTCTAAGGCCCACAGATGTGCCCAAGCATTGTCACCAGGCCTGAGATTCCCATGGCTGCCTTTCTCTCTCAGCACTTCTCCTGGAGACCAGATTGGAGGGTGTGTGGCTCTGCTCCCCCGCAGTGGGGCCAGCTCAGGCTCTCACACCTGGGCCCACTGGGAACGGGTTGGGGCCCAGCCCCGAGTGCAAAGAGGACACAAACACAAATGGACTGGGTTCC